GTCAAGGGTTCCCCAACTTGTCTGTGATTGGGGAGAATAAAATAAAGACCTTCCTCTCTTCCCCTGCCCTTTCCTCTCCCACTCCTGGAGAATTCCAGCAAAAAGAGAATCTTATAAAATCTCCATGCCCCCCATTATTTTCCTCTGCTCTCTTTGGTTCACTAAAATGCACTGTCTTTGGCATTGGGCTTTTGCGGGGTTCCCTTCTTATGAAGTTCGGTAGGCAGTTACCAGACCAAGTCTCCATGAATCCCATCTCTGACCCTGGAGGAGACCCAGGACTACCTTGTCTGCTCCATGGAATTCTCCCTCTATCCTTAGCCCGTTCCAGTCTCTCACCCTTCCATGGTTCCGGGTGCCTGATCCCATGGGTCTCTGGCACCTCGGAGGCCATGAACAGATGGGGGCAAAGGGATCGCAGCTTCCTATCATCACCTTAATAATGAGAGCACCAGGCCGGCGAGCCTTCCATAAACTACCCTTAAGCCAGCCTAACTCCTGAATCTTTCAAAACTGCATTTAGGCTCCTTTAAAAGTAAAGGTCCTTTCCCCCCCTAACAAGAAAGTTCAGGTCACAAATCTCCAGCAGCGCAAGTTTCCTGCACCCTTAGTCAAATTTTGAACAACAATATTCATAATAATAAGAATTAATGCTTGCATCAAAGGGAGAAAGGGACACCCCAGCCCAAGTTTTACAGGGGTTATAATCCAGCAGACTTAGATGGGAGTGGGGGGGTCAGTGAGGCCAGGATGAGCAAAGAAGGGGGTGGGGAACCCAACCTCTTCTAACTAACAATTTCTCCAGCATAAAAATGAAACATCAAATTCGTTAGCCCAGGGCCTTCATTTTTCCCCTTCCACATTATAACTAGTTATTGAACTCGCTGGAAGATCTAAAGGCCATTTGCGAAGAGACAAATTTCAATGGAGTTTCCCCATCAATAACCCCATGGCAGTGACCTATTGGAACAAGTCAAACACCCGAGGTGAAATGCAGGTCACTCTGTCTAACCAATATTAAAATGCGGCCACTTTTTAAAAAGCCACTTTAAACGAGATTTGAGGAAAATTGAATTCCAAAGAAGGCAAGGCAAGGAGGGGGAAATCCATGAGAGGACCTTGCCTATGGTCTTGGAACAAACAAGGGAAATTTATCTTTAATATTTTAAAGGGGGGCAAATTAACATTCCATGATTGCTTTTTTTTTTTCCCCCCAGACTATAAGCGATTCCAGGAGAGAAAAAAAGGTTGAGTATTTTCTGGTGACACGTCCGGGTTATTAAAATCATTTTAGACCAATTCATTACTTTTACTGACAAGAGATTTAAGAAAAAAATCAATTAAGCATTTGCATATTCTTTTGCATACATTAGCCCTGCCTGCTGGCGTTAGAAAGGGACCAAACACACGTATATACATGCACACACACAAAGGGGGAAATATGGGATAAGAGTCTTGCTTTAGCTTGGAGTTTTCAAGTTGCCTGGAGAAAAAATAAAAATGAAATGAATTATTTGATTGCATACCATCTAAAAGTCAATTTATTTCAGGAAGGAGAAAGAGACGTTGCAATTTCTAATCTCTAAAGTAACAAAAACCACATACACCTAAAAAAAAAAAAAAAAATCCTGCACTTCTGAGGATGGGAAAGGAATGACTCTCATTTTCCTTCTCTTTGCCTTCCAAATCCTACATTGGTTCTCCCATTTATTTTTCTCCCTAGGAAAATTCAGGGAGTCTGAGAAGTGGATTTTAATGCAGCACAGAATCTGTGGAGCCGCTGAGGTCTCTCAGCCGGCAGCTTGTTACTGGGGAGGGGAGGAATATGGGTTATCCAACGGTCAGTATGGTAATCCGGGCACAATAAGGCCTCGCACACAATGGACACATATTTTTCTTCAGCGGTGTCAGAAGGGAAGCGCTTTGTACTAAAACATGTTTCCGAAAGAGAAACCAGATCGAGATTTAGAAAGGAGATGGGGTAGCGGGCATTCGTAGAGCATTTGGAAGCTGGCAAAAGGTAGTCAGAAAAAAATAAAAGATAAAATTGGGAAAGAGAGAGGTGGAGGGCAGAGCCCGGGTGGAAAGATCCTTGGGTTGGCAAGGCCGGAGGCAGGAGAGCAATGCACAAAAGGAGGCAGGACCAGATACTAGGCTTCATCATAGGCGAGAGCCGCTTTAGTGCCTCCCCCACCCCAATTAAGCCAATGCTAAGCGCAGGAGTCTTCCAAAAGGGTTTGATTTCTGTATGGTAGTAAGTGAAAACGTTTGTATTGTATGTGTGTGGTGCAGTCTGGCTTGCTATTTTCCCCATGTGATAGGCAACTTCCTTGCTGTTAAGCTATGGGAGACCAAAGAGAGATTTTTTGGTAAATGATGTAGATGAGTGTGGGCATATTGGGGGGAATCTCCCAGATTTCACTTTATACTTTATGGATGTGCATGCTGAATTAGCTGTGCAAACCTGGAATGAGAACCCCACATATATTTGTGGCTGCATAAGGATGCATTTAATATATTAATAAATATTAATAGTATGTATGTATATATATTTGTTAGCTGTAATAACCAAAGACAGACTTGACATTTAGTTGGAGGCATCCGAACTCTCTGTATCTACTTACACATAATGCTCCAAAGTGGGTTTCCTGCTCCGGCTCCCTCTTGCCACCTGCAGGAGCTCAGAATCCTGGGGAGTAATCGCATAGGATGGGCAATGCCTTGGGGAGGACTCCCTAACAAGCCCAAGAGGGTGAAGAGATTAAAGAAATGAGGGTTGAGGTGGAGGCAGGGCTGTTAGAAGGTGAGTGTGAGGGCTGGGAGGAGGGGAGCCAGGCCAAGACCTCACCAAATCAGGTGGGGAAAAGAATATCTAGGCCAGGTTGGGGTGGGGCAGCCTGATCCAGGTGCTGGCCTGGAAGGGAGATTGGGGGTGGGGCTGGAAGGCTTTCTGTTCCTTCAGCCGCCTTCTCCCAACCCTACCTAAGATTCCCGGGTGCTCTGGCTCTCCCCTTGGGGCAGTCTGGGGCAGTGGTTCAGACTTTTTATGTAGGTCAGCATTCAGTGTTGGCTTCCCTTTGCCCTCTTCTTGCTCCCACCCCCACCACCAATAATTGCAAAAAATAAAACCCTCACACGTTCCAAGCCACTATCAACCAAGCAACAGCCTTCCCCTCAAAGTCTCAAGTTCCTCTTCCAACCAAATCAGCCAGTCCTCACACGAAGAGGGTCCCGGACAGGAGTGGGCAGGGAATCTCAACCAACTATGAAAATTTGGGAATCTCCTCCAAGAGATGGTACACCTCCAGGGAATTCCTGTTCCTTCACCCACCTGATGGCAGGAGAGCAGGGCACTGCCTTTTTGGGGAGAGGGTATCCAGGGACCCCTTCCCAGGCACCTGGGGTGAGGGTGGGAAGCCTGAGCATTGAGGAGGGAAGGCATCCAGGGGCCCAGGCAGAGAATCAGCCCCTTTGGGCATCAGCTGTGGCCCAGTGTCTCTTTCATTCCTGCCCTCAGGGTGAGCCCTAATTTAGAAGTGGGGACCCTTTCTTGCATCCCAAAGGTGGTGAGAAACAGGTTGAGAATCTCCAGCCTTCAGTCTCCCTCTCACAAGGGCTTTATATTTTCTCTTTCCTCTCCTCATTCCCTTAATTGCAGATGTTCTAATTAAACCCTCAAATAGTTGTTATGCCGTTTTAAAAGGTACTTATTCAAGTGTCAACCAGGCTGGGCTGGGAGGAGGCAGCGTAGGGCTGCGAATTAAAGGTAGATTGACTAATCACGGCGGCGATCATAATAATAAAATCAGAGGGGAAAAAAATCACATTACGACTTTTCGTGGAAAGGAGGGAGCAGGCAGCCAGCGGCCGCCAGCTCTGCGCCGCCGCCGACACAAAGAGTGCGGGCGATTCCGCGAGACTGATTTATGACGTTTTACAGCCCTATAAAAGCTGTAGCGACGAGGCAAGCGCTCCTACCACCGCTGGCAGATTTAGTCTAATAAATAAAACATAAACAGTTAACTTTATGTGTCACTTTTATTGTTATCAAGTAAAATATAGCTGAGCCCCGGCAAGCTATGATTTTAAACTATAATTGTTATCAAGTACAACAAGGGGACCCGGCTCCCTCCCTGGGCTCTCCCTTCTGCCAACCCCCCCCCAACTCTGAGTTATGGGATCAGTTAATTGGAATTGGTGGCATGATGCGGCCACCCTATCTGGGGGGGGTGTGTGTGTGTGAAAAGCAGCCCTTCTGGCCCCCTCCCCCTTCCATGGCCCTGCCACCCAGACACAAGGGCATTCCTGTGGGTTGGTGGCAGAGAGAGGGGAGGAGGCAGGAAGGGACTGGAGACACCCCCCCCCCT